CTGTGCTCCTGACACAAGGCAAGAGCCGCCTTGTTGTCACCGTACAGAACTGGAGGAGAACTAGGCCGCTCTCCCAAGTCAGTCAGCAGGTAGGTGAGCCAGCGTAACTCCTGTGCAGCCATGGCTGTGGCGTAGATCTCAGCCTCACAACTAGAGCCGAGAACAGAAGAAGAGCGGGTGGACCGCCACGAGACAGAACCAGAGCCAAGGCTGAAGGTGTAACCCTGTGACGACCGCTGCGTAGCCAGGTCGTCCACCCAAGAAGCGTCCGAGTGACCAGTGAGGACAACTCTGTCGCGTCCTCCAAGCACCAGCCCCATGCCTGATGTACTGCACAAGTAACGCAGCACCCTCTTAGCAGCCTCCCAGTGCTCTCGCCTGTGTCTCCCAGGCGCAACGTAGCGAGCAAGGATGCTAAGTGGGTACGCGAGGTCAGGTCGCGTGCAAGTCATCAGGTACATGAGGCAGCCTACAAGCTCTGGGTACGGGCCACTCGGCTCTACGGACTCGTCCGAAGGTGGAGCTGAGAGTGAGTGGCTGGTAGCCAGAGGTGTGGCCTGTGGTGAGGAGAACTGGAAGCCGAAGCGCTAAAGGACCTGCTGCACCATGTGTGACTGAGTCAGGGTGATGGTGCGGCGAGCTCTGTCCCGGGTGATCTGCAAGCCAAGGTAGCTACGTAGTTCACCCAGGTCAGTGCAGGTGTGTCTCTTCTGCAGCTCCGACTTCACACGAGCGAGTGCCTCAGTGTCAGCAGTAGCAAAGACCAAGTCGTCGACGTACACGAGAATGTAGAACGGCGGCAGCGACGTGTCTGTGCGCAGAAACAGCGACGGGTCAGCAGTAGACGGCGCGAACCCAAGAGCCGCAAGTGTAGTCCTCAGTGTGTCGTGCCACTCACGTGGCGCCTGGCGGAGACCGTAGACTGGCCGGCGGAGGCTCTACTGGGTACCAGGAGGAAACGACCCAGTAAAGCCAGGTGGGCGGCGCAGCCAGATCTCCTCGTGCAGGCTGCCCTGCAGGAACGCTGTGCTGAAGTCAAGAGAGTGAAGCTCGTAGTCACGCTGAGCAGCAACGTGCAGCAGAACCCGAAGAGTGGTCATCTTCGGGGTGGGGGAGAAGGTCTGGAAGAAGTCGACCCCCTGACGCTGACTGAAGCCTCTAGCAACGTAACGAGCCTTGAAGACAGGCGGAGAACCTGGCGGCCGCTTCACCCTGAAAATCCACATGCCATCGACGATGTTCGCCCCAGGAGGGGGAACCTCGTCGACGTAGGTGCCTGTGGACTTCCAGGATGCCATCTCTGCGTCCATGGCTGTCTGCCACTGAGAGGAGTAGGGACCCGAGATCGCCTCTGCGTAAGTGCGCGGAGTGGGGATGTCTAGTGCATCCGGGTCTCCCTCAGGGGCAAGCAACCAGGCCACGAGATGAGGTACAGCAGCCGCGAGAGAGTCAAAGTCCTCCTGCCTGTCCTCAAGGACGTCCGTGCCAAGAGCACACTCACCTCCGACGGACGGAGGACAGACAGACTCAGACCCAGCAACAAGACTGGCGGCGTAGTCGAGGCGACAGGCAGCAGCAAAGTCGACAAGCTCAGCGACCAGGGCAGACGCAGCAGAAGACTCAAACGACGGGTCAGTGACAACAGTGGCGAGAAGACGCGTGACAGTAGGGTGGGCAGCACGAACACTGTCAGACGCAGGGTCGGGAACGTCAGGAAGAGAAGACGCAGGAGGAGACGGTAGGGGGACACGCTGTGGACCAGTGGAAGGACGAAGTGCCATAATGTGCGTGCCAGGAACAGGAGGAGGACGCGGACGCGCGACACGACGGCTAGTGGGACCAGTGCGAGCAGTGCGAGCAGCGCGAACCGGCGAGGCAGGACGAGACGCAGGCTCACGACGCTCCGTAAGCGAGTCCGGCTGTGCAGTATAAGGCACAGGAGCAGGGAGGGGGGAGCCAGGCTGAAGGGGAAGGCCAGTGGAAGACGGGAGGGAAAGAACCTGGCGAAGCACCGTGTCAGGCGGCGGCAAAGCCGACGGCGACGGAGGAGCGAAGAACAGGCGCGACGGCGGAGCTCCGCCAGCACCTCCAGCACCCGGAGCACCAGAAGCACCTGGACCAGCACCCTCCGCCGCAGCACCCCCCGAGTCGGCGACGTCAGCACCAGAGGCCCCAGCAGCGTCAGACCTCCCCTCGCCAGCACCTCCAGAACCAGCAGGACCACCGTGTCCAGAACCGTCAGCTCCAGCGTCGTCAGCTCCAGCAGCTCCAGTACCGCCAGGAAGAGCACCCCCAGACGCAGCAACCCCAGGCTCCGTAGGCTCAGTAGCAGCACCCCCAGGCTCAGTACCCTCAGGCGCAGTACCCCCAGGCTCGGCACCCCCAGACTCCGTACACGCAGGCTCAGCACCCCCAGTCGTAGCACCCCCAGGCTCAGCACCCCCAGGCGCCGAACTCCCAGGCACAGTACCCTCAGCTCCAGCACCCGCAGTCCCAGCACTCCCAGGCCCAGCACCCGCAGGCTCAGCACCCCCAGGCTCAGCACTCCCAGCAGCACCACCTGCAGCAGCACCTGAGTCACCTGTGACCTCGACAGGCTCAGCGACGGGAGGAGGGTCTACCTGAGAGACACCTGAAGGAGCAGGACCCTGAGGGGGAAGGGGGTCTACCGGAGGGGGACCAGGAGCAAGGAAAAGCGGCGGGGGAGGGAGGGGGGCAGTACGGTAGGGGAAGAGACGGTAAAAAGGGACCGACTCGTCAAAGGTGACGTCCTGAGAGGCGAAGACCCGGCGCGAGGTGGGGTGGTAAAACTGCCAGCCCGGCGCGTCAGGGACAAAGCCAAGGAAGACACAGGGAAGCGTGCGGGAGGAGAGCTTGTCCGCGGACGTATCGCGGACAAGGGCACGAGCACCCCACACCCGGAAGCGCGACGCATCGCCAACCTCCCCCGTCCAACGCAGTGTGGGCGAGGTCTCCGGCAAGGAGACACGGGGCCAGAGGTTGAGCTGATGCGCGGCGTACCGGACAGCAAACGGCCACAGAAAATGGGGAGCCGCCGCGTGGACCAAGGAGGTACGAGCGACCTCCATGACCAGGCCAATGCGGCGCTCAGCAACCCCATTCTGCTGTGGGGAGTCCGGAAGCGTGAAGGTCTGCTCGATGCCCTCCGCCTGACAGAAGGTCCTCAAGAGATCGGAGGAGAACTCACCACCTCTGTCAGAGTGCAGACGCAGGACAGGAAGATCCGTCCGGAAACGGCGGCGGAGCTGGAGACGAACCGTGCAGATCCAAGGGATCAGAACAGCAGGGACCTCACCCTTGGTGCGCAAGGGGAAGACCGTGGTGTAACGCGAGTAGTCGTCGACAACCAGCAAAAAGTACCGCTCACCGCCCTGGCCACGAACGCGGGCTGGGCCCCACACGTCCAGGTGGAGGGTCTGCAGAGGAGCCTCTGTCGGGGGGAACGAGGAGGAGTGAGGAGCGGCGCGCTGCCGCCCCTCGACGCAAGGAAGGCAAGGCGGCGCAGGCGAGGCAGGGAGGGGAGGGAGGGACCTGGGAAGACCAGACACAAGGTGGCGACGGTGCATGCCACGGAGGCGTGGCAAGGAGGGGTGACCCAGGCGGTGGTGCCAGAGAAGAGTCTGGTGCGACAGGGAACGACACTCACAGGCGTGGGCCACCAGACCTGACGCGGACACCTGACCGACAGCAGCAACCTGAGGAGACGCAGTGGTCAGTGTGTAGAGACTCGACCCCGGCCGACGGGTAAACGTAGCCAGGTGACGGCCGGTCCTGGAGCACGTGCAGATCGCCACACGCTGTCCTCCAGGGGTAAAGGTGTCAACCCACTGATCCTGGATGACAGCGTTGCTCACCAGATTCGGCAGGCGGGCTGCGAAGCGGGCAGCGGGCGGGCGGGCGACGCTGCAAGCGGGCAGCGGGCGGGCGGGCGACGCTGCAAGCGGGCAGCGAGGCGGGCGGGCGACGCTGCGAGCGGGCAGCGCGGCGGGCGGGCTGCGAAGCGGGCAGCGGGCGGGCGGGCGACGCTGCAAGCGGGCAGCGAGGCGGGCGGGCGACGCTGCGAGCGGGCAGCGCGGCGGGCGGGCGACGCTGCGAAGCGGGCAGCGGGCGGGCGGGCGACGCTGCGAGCGGGCAGCGCGGCGGGCGGGCTGCGAAACGGGCAGCGCGGTAGGCGGGCGACGCTGCGAGCGGGCGGCTCGGCGGGCGGGCGACGCTGCGAGGGGCGCGCGAGGGCGCTAACGAGGGCGCTAACAAGGGGGCGCGAGGGCGCTAGCGAGGGCGCGCGAGGGCGCTAACGAGAGGCGCGCGAGGGCGCTAACGAGGGCGCGCGAGGGCACTAACGAGGGCGCGCAAGGGCGCACGAGGGCGCTAACGAGGGCGCACGAGGGCGCTACGAGGCTAGGGCACGGGGTAGCGTGGTAACCGCATGCGAGCGGTGGTGGGCCTTAAAAAAAAAAAACGGTCGGTAGGTCCTAGGGACCTCCTGCTCTGAATACCATGTTAACAGAACTAGGCAAGAATGGTGGATTGAAAGAAACAGTTGGGTACAAGTAGCTAACCCTAGTTGGGTTTGTACCCTGTATTGGCTACCCCACTACAGCCTACCTACATATAAATAACACATTACAACTTAACATGAATGTCTTCCCCTGAGGGGGTGTCCAGCTCGTACATTTATTGTAACCACATTATTTGCTGTAACACTGTATTGTATGTGTCCCGCGGACACAATCAGCTTTCGTTCACAAGACGGCACGCCCTCTCACGTTACTGGAATCAGCGGGGACGCGAACAAGGGTACAGCAAAGCGTCCTGGCCACCACAGTAAGTGCCCCTTGTATCGCTTGCACGATTTCGCCAGTGCCTCGTTGCACTCGCCAACGCCCCTTGCGCCGCTATGATTGAAAGCGGCATCAAGTTTCTACGTGGACCTGTTTGATGACAAGTCGCGGTCGGGAGCTCTGCCGCCGGACTTCAGAATGGATAGACGGTTCTCACTGGAAGATGCAGCCGCGCTCAGTGCACCGTGGGAGGAGGAGGTTAAGCAGGCGCTTGCGGAAATGGCGTCGGGCAAAACGCCGGGGAGGGATGGGCTGCCGAAGAAGCTCTGGGAGTCGCACTGGAGCTTGCTGGATGGTCATGTGATGCAGTTCTTGAAGGACTTTGAGCAGACGGCGTCACTTGGGGCAGAATTCTCGATGGCTGTGACGGTGCTTCTGCACAAGAAGGGGGATAAACAGGACCTGCTGAACTACCGTCCGATTACCTTGCTGAGCACGGCGTACAAGATCATCGCAAAAGTTCTGGCTAACAGAGTAAAGCATAGGCTGGATAAAGTGGTATCTACGGGGCAGTTTGGATTCTTACCCGGTAGGAGCCTTGCTGGAGCGGTGGCGATTGCGGCGGATGCGATCGATGCGGTGAACTCCAGGCAGGAAGATTGGCTCCTCCTCCTGGTTGATTTCAGGAAGGCATTTGATTCTGTCTCGAGGAACTACCTGTTCAATGGCTTCCCGGAGACATATGTGAAGTGGGTGGAAGGGCTGCATCAGGGAAAGGCAACGCGCATCTGCAACGACAGCTGGCTGGGAGAGGAGGTGCCGGTGCAGACTGGAGTGAGGCAGGGCTGCCCGCTTGCGCCCTATCTCTTCCTCTGTGCGGTGGAGCCCCTCTGCCAAGAAGCACAGCGGAGGCAATTAGGAGTGGACATTGCGGACGCGGGAAAGCTGTCTTACCTTGGCTACGCGGATGACACAACTCTTCTGCTGAAGGGCCGGGAGCAGTTGAGTAGGGCCGAGACACTGCTTAATGATTTTGAACGGATGTCGGGGCTTGCGGCGAACCGGGACAAGACGGTGGTAATGCCGTTGGGGAAGCAGCGGGATGAGGCGCCACCGGTCACCTCACCCTTCAAATGGGCGTCACAGGACGAGTCGGAACGCCTGGTGGGGGTGTGGATTACAGGGTGGGGGGATGCAAAGCCCTCATGGTGAAGGGCGCTGCGCAGGATGGAAGCAGAACTCAAGAAGTGGGAGGAGAAGTATTTTACCACGACGGCACGAGTGGCAGTAATCAACATGTACATCATGCCCATTGCACTCTTCCAAGCGCAATTGTACCCGCCTCTGGACGCGTTGTTGGAGGAACTACGGCGGCTGTGTCGTGCCTTTCTACCAGGAGGCAGAGCGAGTGCTAGGCCCGGTTTCATTCACTGGAGTGCAGAGCTTATGCAGATGCGAAGAAGTGCGGGCTGGGGTTGGTCAATCTCCGGAACAGGCTTGATGCTGAAGCCCTCCAGTGGGCCGGAGAGCTCCTCACGGAGCAGTTCCCCCAAAGAAGAACGTTGGAGGAGTGGGCAGCACGCCTCCCCCTCGGTTACGCCTCTTTCTATGCGCATGAGGGCCTGCTGAAAATGTGGGGCGGGGGTAGCGAGCGCTGGAAGGCGATTACGGCGGTGGTAATGGCGTCCCCCATAGCCCGAGACTTGCCATGCAAGAGCAGATGGGATTTGGAGAAGGAACGAGTGGAGTTCAACCATCACATCCTTTACGAGGAAAGTTGTCCTTTTGGGAGGAGGAAGGGATCGGAGTGCCTCTGGGACATTACAGTGGGCGACCTGGTGATGAAGTGGGCGGACGACATACGGAGCCCCAAAACGTCGGTGCAGCTGGAGCGGTTATTGGGCTCCAAGCAAGCAGCAGCATTGGCGGCGGAAGTCTTCGAGGCAATTCCTGTGGAGTGGAAAAATCAGGTTCTGAAATCGCTTAGCGTGGAAGAGATGCTAGAGGCGACTAAGGTGGTTCGCACCGTTGGTCGTGGGGCGCAGATGTGGTGGGTAATCAAAGCGTCGGGGAGTGCGTTATGGTGCGTGAGGATGCGGCGCCGTGCTGACGGGGTGTCCTGGTACGCGCCAGAGGGAGCGAAGATTTCTTTGCTATCAGTATCGGACGTTACTCCCCTGGAGATGTCAGGGGAGGAGGTGGCAGGGGAACTGGGTGATCCCCGTGTCAGACTCATGGGAACAGACTTGTGCGTGGGGAGCAGCGCCGCTTCCCTGAAGCAGTTGCGGACGGAGTTGGAGGAAGAGCTCGATCACTCTTGGCAACTCTCACGGCAGGAAAAATGGGAGAGGTGCTGGGGGAAGCGGATCAATTGGCAGAGAACGATTGCGCGCAGAGACTCGCACGCCATCCCCGCAAAGGCGCGTGACGCATTGCTGCAAACCCACTGCTCCAATCTTCAGGTGGGGGACCGGTTGCGCTTCCTGGGGGAGCGTGTTAAATGGCCGCACTGTGGAGAGGCGGAAACGGTGGATCATGCTCTCTTCTCTTGTCGTGTCATTCAACCTGTGGTGCATGCGTTGATCAAGACCATCCGTTGGCTCAACGCGGCAAGGAGGATAAAATTGCTTGGAGACTTAATGTTCCAACGGGGTGGCACGTCATCCGGATTTGAGGAATTAACGGTATCGGCGATTGTGTTCCACCATATCTGGGTGGAGCGCTGCAATGCGGTCTTCAGGGGGAAAAGGTTCAAGTGCGGGAAGGTGATGCGGAAGGTGGTGACTGCTTTCTGCCTCCATGCGAAAACATACGAGGGCATCAAGCGGAGGAAGGTTTGGGCGAGGAAGTGACGCGTGGCCAAGAAGCATCTGGCGAAAGACGAGGTCACGGCTCAGCACTCGTTTGGGCAACAAGCTGATGTGGCCCTCCTATCTGTTCAGATGCGCGCCTCTCCTGCCGGACTCCTGCTGCTCGCCCTTGCCCTAATCTGTGGTCAGTGTTCTTCGTTATCATTTCAATAAAATCTTCTACCACTTGCGGGCAGCCCTTGCCTCAAATGCTACTCCATTAGAGCTCTCGAATCCGTGCCTTTCTTGCGGCTCCCTTGTTCCTGCTCTCTTCTATGTTAGGCTCTAACCTCTCTTCTCCCTCCTCTCAGTTGTCTCATATCTACTCTCTCTCTTCTCTTCTCCGCACATCCTCTCCCTTGTCCTCTGCAATAGCTCAAATAATGACGGCAGCGAATGGTGACGACACGGTGAAACGCATTGCACACCACATGGCACACCGGAGCATGCTGTCTAATGCGTATGGCAATGGCACAGTGCCGAAAAGCCCCAACAAGGGCAGCACCAACGAGGGCAGTCACAGCAAGGGCAGCCCCAACACGGGCAGCCCCACACGGGCAACACGAATGAGGCCTCCAACACGCGCAGTCCCAGCAAGGGAAGCCCAAGCAAGGACAACACCAGCGCGGGCAGCAGCAGTGAACCCCCCAGCATGCAGGTTGAGGTGGAGGTGGCGGTGGGAGGGCTGCGGCTGACCTTCAGCAAGCAGCGCTGCGTGAGCGTGCCCAAGGAGGCGAGGAAGAGCAACGTGAAGGTGTAGTGGCAGGGCCGTGCAGGCTCCAGCAACGGCGCGCGTTCGAGCAATGGGGGCTCGAGCAACGGGGGTCCGAGCTACGCTGGGTATTCGAGCTACGGGAGCAACGGTGATCCGGGCAGCAAGGCGCGGGGTGTTGCGTGCGCGCAGATCAAGTTCTTTGGGGAGAGCGGCTGCCAGGGCAAGGAGGTGGACAGTGTGGTCAACCCGCGCACTGCTATTGCAGCCAAGTAAGTGGCGGGTATTGTAGTGTGTGGATGGGAACAGCGGATGCCAGGGCAAGGAGGTGGACAGCATGGTCACCCCGAGGATTATTACTGTAGCCAAGCAAGTGACGGGTGGGCCAGGTGGGCTCTACCGCACACAGGTCAGGGGATGAAGGCTGCCAGGGCGAGGAGGTGGACAGCATGGTCAACCCGTGCACTTCTGGTGATGCGTCCCCGTGAGTTGGGGTGGGGAGAGGAGGAGAGGGGGGGTGAGAGGATGGGAAGGGAGGGAGAGGAAGGGGAGGGAAGAGGAGGGAAAGGGAGGGACGGGAGGAGAGGGAATAAAGTGGCACGTTGTGATATTTTGTGCTTCAAACTCGTTTCAGAAGACGAAAGTCAATACAACGATTTTCTTTTTTAATTTATTCATTCATTTATTTTTATTCCTCCGTATGCTTCGCTTTTCCGGAGGGGAAGCAATACTTAAGTATTTCCTGAGGACGTTGTGGTATATGCTATTGTGTGTCCACTTTGCAACACCCTTCAGGGTCCCAAGCAGTAAGAAGAAGATCAGCAAGTGGGCTTCAGTGGCCTCCGTGGCTTCAGTGGCGTCTGTTCTCTGCAACACTGGTGCGTCCTGTTCTGTCTTTTGGAGGAGAGCCACGTCCTCCTCACTCTGAATAGCAACTACTCCTTCGGAGTGTCTCATTCCACCACTATGCTCTCTTGCCACCAGCAGCACCGCCAGCAGCTCCACCAGCAGCACCACCAGGACCACCACCAGCGGCACCACTGGCAGCACCAGCCGCAGCACCACCGGCAGCACCAGCAGCAGCACCACTGGCAGCACCAGCAGCACCACCACCGGCAGCACCACCAACACCACCACGAGCAGCACCATTGGCAGCACCACCAGCAGCACCTATGTATTCAGTGGGCGTGATTCTGAAGCATCCTCCTCACTCTTGTGGCATGTCTGAGTCCACACTGCTACGCCCTCTTACCACTTTCACACACACATTCTCCTTCCCATGTCTTTATCTGTTGGCCCTTTCTTCTCGCCTTTGCTGCAGATCCTGCTTGTGGGGCGTTGGGTTGTGAGCCTGGTGGCAAATGTGTGGTGGATCAAAACGGAGAGCGAGATAACATTCGCACGACGAATGCGTGGGGCTTGTGAAACTTGGACAAAGTTTCAAGAACTCCGTCCTTGATACTTGGGCTCCCCTCAAATCCCTTTCCCTTGCAGACTTGTATGATGCGGTGAATTGTGGGCTTGACGGCAACTGCTTGCAATCACGACCTGATTACATTCATCTTTACTCAAGAGACCTCTCCCCTGACCTGCAACCACGCATGGTTGCAATCACGACCTGATTGCATTCATCTTTACTCAAGAGACCTCTCCCCTGACCTGCAACCACGCATGGTTGCAATCACGACCTGATTGCATTCATCTTTACTCAAGAGACCTCTCCCCTGACCTGCAACCACGCATGGTTGCAATCACGACCTGATTGCATTCATCTTTACTCAAGAGACCTCTCCCCTGACCTGCAACCACGCATGGTTGCAATCACGACCTGATTGCATTCATCTTTACTCAAGAGACCTCTCCCCTGACCTGCAACCTCGCATGGTTGCAATCACGACCTGATTGCATTCATCTTTACTCAAGACACCTCTCCCCTGACCCGCAACCACGCATGTTCCACGTGCTGCGTCTCTCTCTTCTTCGTTGTAGTGCCACTCGCTTGAATCCATTCCAAAGCAGTTCCCCTTTCACCCGTTCATGCATCCCTCTCTCTGTGTTGCTGCAGATACCTACCGCCTGTGCCGCTGTCATCCATACCGCCTGTGCCGCTGTCATCCATATTGCCTGTGCCGCTGTCATCCATACCGCCTGTGCCGCTGTCATCCATACCGCCTGTGCCCCTGTCATCCATACCGCCTGTGCCCCTGTCATCCATACCGCCTGTGCCGCTGTCATCCATACCGCCTGTGCCGCTGTCATCCATACACTTGTCATTCCAATGCCTTCATGACCTCTAAATTTCATCCCATATCTCTCACTGTTGCCCCTATATTGTTGCCTCTCTGCTGCAGATCCCTGTACGGCGTTGGGCTGTGAGCCTGGTGGCACCTGTGAGGTGGATCAAAACGGGGAGCGCTACTGCCAGTGGGGTGAGTGAGCATGGCGCTGCTGCCAGTGGGGTGAGTGAGCATGGCGCTACTGCCAGTGGGGTGAGTGAGCATGGCGCTGCTGCCAGTGGGGTGAGTGAGCATGGCGCTGCTGCCAGTGGGGTGAGTGAGCATGGCGCTGCTGCCAGTGGGGTGAGTGAGCATGGCGCTGCTGTCAGTGGGGTGAGTGCTTGCTTCTCCCCTCTGCCTTGCTTCTCCCCTCTGCCTTGCTTCCTGCTCCTCCTTGCTCCGGTGCTTCTCCCTGTGCCGGCACGTCTGGATGCACAGCCTTCCACTTTAGATTGCTTTTGAAAATTCTCAAAAGCGTCTGGATGCACAGCCTTCCACTTTAGATTGCACGGCCATTTCACACCCATCCATGTCCACCCGTCATACCTGATAGTTCCACCCTTCCCCATTTCTTGCACCTTCCCATCCCTTGCATCTCCCCATCCCTTGCACCTCACCATCCCTTGCATCTCCCCATCCCTTGCAGCTCCCCATCCCTTGCATTTCCCCATCCCTTGCACCTCCCCATCCCTTGCATCTCCCCATCCCTTGCACCTCCCCATCCCTTGCATCTCCCCATCCCTTGCACCTCCCCATCCCTTGCACCTCCCCATCCCTTGCACCTCCCCATCCCTTGCATCTCCCCATCCCTTGCACCTCCCCATCCCTTGCATCTCCCCATCCCTTGCACCTCCCCATCCCTTGCATCTCCCCATCCCTTGCAGCTCCCCATCCCTTGCATCTCCCCATCCCTTGCACCTCACCATCCCTTGCATCTCCCCATCCCTTGCAGCTCCCCATCCCTTGCATCTCCCCATCCCTTGCACCTCCCCATCCCTTGCACCTCCCCATCCCTTGCACCTCCCCATCCCTTGCATCTCCCCATCCCTTGCATCTCCCCATCCCTTGCATCTCCACATCCCTTGCACCTCCCCATCCCTTGCACCTCCCCATCCCTTGCACCTCCCCATCCCTTGCACCTCCCCATCCCTTGCACCTCCCCATCCCTTGCACCTCCCCATCCCTTGCACCTCACCATCCCTTGCATCTCCCCATCCCTTGCACCTCCCCATCCCTTGTACCTCCCCATCCCTTGCATCTCCCCATCCCTTGCACCTCCCCATCCCTTGCATCTCCCCATCCCTTGCACCTCCACATCCCTTGCACCTTCCCATCCCTTGCATCTCCCCATCCCTTGTCTCCCTTGCTTGCTGCCTTCCTCACCCTCACTCTGTGGCGCCTGCCCCTCTGGAGCCTCAACCCCGCATGAGCAATTGCTCTCACATACCCCACTGCACCCATCCCCACCCCACAGACTCACTCTGTGGCGCCTGCCCCTCTGGAGCCTCAACCCCGCATGAGCAATTGCTCTCACATACCCCACTGCACCCATCCCCACCCCACAGACTCACTCTGTGGCGCCTGCCCCTCTGGAGCCTCAACCCCGCATGAGCAATTGCTCTCACATACCCCACTGCACCCATCCCCACCCCACAGACTCACTCTGTGGCGCCTGCCCCACTGGAGCCACCTGCAGAATCAAAACTACCTTGACGGGACAAATACCTTACTGTGCTTGCCCCGAAGGCTTTGCCTTGACCGCCACTAGATGCATGGAGGGTGAGGTTCTTTAACTCATGCTCGCTTTGACTTTTGAGTCGACTCAAAAGTCAACTTTGCCTTGACCGCCACTGGATGCATGGAGGGTGAGGTTCTTTGACTCATGCTCGCTTTGACTTTTGAGTCGACTCAAAAGTCAACTTTGCCTTGACCGCCACTGGATGCATGGAGGGTGAGGTTCTTTGACTCATGCTCGCTTTGCTCTCCCCACTCTCTCCACTCGCCCCACTCTCTCCGCTCTCTCTCTCTTCAGCTTTCTCGCTCTTCCAACCTTGCTGAACCACTGATGCTTGTGGGAATGGCATATACGATGTATGAATGTGGGAGTGTACGCAGGTGCAGACAAACATAGTAAGACCGTGCCTTCTCTTGTACCACTCTGTCTCAGGTCGAGATTTCATCCTCCGGGGTGGCGTTTCCTCTGTAGCAGACGCGAGCATCACTCTTATCGCGAATCCAACAGCCAAGGACAACTCTTCTAGACCCTACACCATTCGCCTCAAACCACCTGTGCGCTGCACGAAGATTCCAGATGCATTCGTTGGAGAGTCCACGGCAATGTATGTTGCTGCGAACCTCTGGGATGCTCCGCACTGCTACACTTTTCTGATCCACTACAAAACAGATAACTGTTCTGACAATGTTATCCTTCAAGGCAACGCGCCTTCTGACTTTACAAAGTGAGTGACCAATCGTTTTCCGTCCACACGCTTGCACACCTGTTCCCTTTCCCTCTCTGCGCCAATCATCAATGATAGTCCCTTTTGTCCACCCTTTGTTACCATTGACCAGGTACTACCCGAAGCTTGGAAGTGCCCGCTCACTCTCGTGCTACTAGCATAATGTGGATGGCTTGAAAGCCGCCGTGAAATCAGGAATGCTCGCTCAAGTGTGCACCTTCTAGCATCACAAGGATGGTTTTTGAGGCGCATCAAAACTCGGGAGTGTCTGCTCTATTCTGTGCATCTACTAGCAAGACGTGGATGGCTGTGTTGGAAACAAGTGTTTTCTCAGCCCAACAGGCTGCACTGACTATGGTGTCAAATGCATGCACGGCTTGGCTTCTGACCCCTTTTCACCTGCACTCTGTGAGGAACCCCTTCTCACCCACTCAATGTAGTTTCTTACCAACTGTTGCTCCTGCTCTAAGGCTGGTCGAGAAGTGTTTGCAGAGCTGTATGCGTTTTGCTTCATTATTATTATTATTATTATTATTACTATTATTATTATTATTATTATTATTATTATTATTATTATTATTATTATTATTATTATTATTATTATTATTATTATTATTATTATTATTATTATTATTATTATTATTATTATTATTATTATTATTATTATTATTATTACTATTATTATTATTATTATTATTATTATTATCCCTTTACTTGCTGGATTCAAGTGGAGAATGTTTCAATCTGGTCCCAATAGCTAGGAGACACAATCTGTACACCCCGTTGCGTTGCACCAGTGTAGCAGAACGTCCAGTTTTTGGGGATGAACAAATTGACAACTATTTGATTTTTGCACTGGACAGGACACCCATTCAACAATAATCGTAAGAAACTACTATCTAGCCTAATCACAAAATCTACGAATTTCAGCAATGCATATACCGGTAGTACCAATATAGGTCGCTTCGGTGTTGGCCTTCGAATCGAATCCCTTTTCCTACTCCAGCGAGCACATTGTCGGCGGGATGTCTACCGTGGCGCCCGCTAGGTTTCCACATGGCTGCCTGACAGGACATTATGATTGACATGCCTGAACGGGGCACTCGAGAGGCTTTTCCTGCTGTAACTCCGACAGTGACAATTCGTTTACCTGAACAAAACTTAAGGAGCGTCGGAATTAGCGCGACGGCGCAACCAAGGCGCCGGTCACACCGTCATATCGCCCTCGCATGGTAACCATGAATGATGTCGACATACAGGCGAACTTGCATTTCCCGCTGCTGCCCTCCTTGTCGGCCTCGAAAACGACTCCCCGTTACAGTCAGTCACCCCTACATGTCATTCTCAAGCGAATTTCGAGGCGGCGGCGCCTCACAACCCGTCGCGATCATTCACTTCACCAAATCTGTGGCCCTTAATTTCACACGCACACCTCGGCCTGGGCGATCATCGTCAGCATGTCTCGCTCGACGTCATATCATCCCAGCCTCGAGTCGCGTCGCAACGTCGCCTTCGCTCCTCGAATCTCTTCTCGCGTTACCCTCGCCTCGTCACCTCCGCGCCAGCTCCCCGCACCACCCCTCCTTCCGCCTCGTCCGGTCGCCGGATATCCCTCCTTACCTCGACTTCCCCGCTCACTACCACCGACGAAACCTCTTCGATCATTCTCATTCACGCCGTACCTACGAATGAGAGCTGTCACGGTCGCGTCGCGTCGCGTGCATATGCCCGCGGCAGGTCCAGGTTCAGCCCCTCGGCGGTTGCGCGGATTCGTTCGTCGCGCGCGCCTTGCGCTCAGCCTGACGCGGCTGATGTGCGATGTGAGAGTGGTTACAGTACCGGTTCTTGGCGGAACTGGAGCCGCAACGTCGGATCCATCAAGTTTCCGACAATGTGCGGTTCCGTGGATTAACACGAATCCCTTCAGTCGAGTTTCTAGCACACAGCACGCGGCAAGCGCCAGGTGGAGCAAACTCGACATGAAGACGACTTAATATGGACAGATTGCGCGGAGCCGCTCTTGGTTAGGTGTACGAGACTCTGTGCCGGGGGTGTCTCGGCATTCTTGCAATTCTTGGCAGTTTTGGGTCAAGAGTCCGAGCTCTCGAGCCGTGCTCTGCGGCTTACAGCAGTCAGGCAGTCACAGAAGGCTCCTGGCGAGTCGGTCGGCTTTGTTATGATGGATTCTCTGACACTCCTTACGAACCATTTTTCGGGTCGTAGTGCTCTTTACTGACTGCACCTGCTGCAGATCAACGGCTGGAAGGCAAGTGCTGCGGAGCGATCCCCTGGGAGCAGCTGGTGATGCCGGCTTCGGCAATAGGGCCTTCCCTGATTCCTTTGGTTGCTATTAATTGGCCATTGATAAGGTGATCGGTGCGGGTAAACGCAGCGGTTCACAGTGGCTATCACGAATATCATTGAGCTCATTATCCGCACCGAAAGTGCTGGGCTAGGGTAGATCGAAGTGACCGCCGTGTTTCCCAGCTGCTTCTGTCTGTAGACAGGGTAAATCGAGTGCGAACGAACTGAGTGTAACGAGCTGTTGCAAGCCTGGTGGTTGTCGGCATGGGGGAGACGGCGGACGTAGAGGCGGGACTCACGGCGGGTGAAGCGTGCGAGAGCACGGAAAGCTTCACCGTGGTTGACCTTGAGAATGGTTCTTGTAACGGTGGTGGTTCTAACGGCGGCCGTGCCAACGGCAGTACTGACGGCGAACGTGTGGTTGTGAATGATTCTTTCAAGGATTACGCCGCTGCTGGAAAGAGCGGGTTTGCGAAACACGCGCTCGACCACTCGGCATACGACCTAACTGTCGTCGATTTGACTTACAAGGTGTGCCTATCATTCCTGCTATCTCTCACCACAATCTACTCCATCATTCCTGTTAAAGTTTAGACTAGACTAAACAGCACTCAATTACAGAATGTTTTACTCTGCCAGATCCAGGTCCCTCTGAAGATTTGTGAGTTTATTTGCTGGAGTGCTCTCTTCTCCCTCCTCTCGTTCCACCCACTCCCATCCACTCCTCCCTCTCTAGGTTGTCAAGAAGGCGGCTAACAACAGCACGAAGCAGATGGTTCTCCTGAACAAGGTCAACGCCAAGGCACGCCATGGCCAGATGATGGCGGTAGTCGGCCCGTCAGGCGCGGGAAAATCGACGTTTCTCGACGCGATCGCAGGGCGAATCAGCCAATCCTCGCTGGACGGCGAGATTCTGGTGAACGGCAAGCCGGTAGAGACATCGTTCAAGCGAGTTTCGGGTTACGTTATGCAGGACGACCAGCTTTTCCCCATGCTGTCGGTTCGCGAAACGCTCATGTTTTCCGCGCGCCTGCGACTTCCTGCGGCGATGTCGCTGGCGGATAAGAAGGAGCGGGTTTCGGATCTGATTGACGAATTGGGGCTGACGACTTGCGCGAACACGATAATCGGGAATGCCGAAGTTCGCGGAGTTTCGGGAGGCGAGCGGCGACGAGTTTCAATTGGCGTGGATTTGATTCACGACCCAGCTGTACTCTTTTTGGATGAACCCACTTCTGGGTTGGATTCTACAGCTGCACTGAATGTTATGCAAAGCTTGCATGACATTGCAACACATCGGCGCCGCACGATTATCCTCACAATTCATCAGCCATCCTTCCGAATCCTGGACCTTATTCACAACTTCCTGGTGCTGGCGAAAGGTTCTGCAGTATACCATGGGTCTTATCCAGGAATGCTGAAATTCTTCGAGGACTTCGGCACAGTGGTGCCTGAACATGTGAGTAGAAATCCTGACAAAACTTGCCTGAACTGAACATGGAATCTCCTTTTTTTTGCATCCCCTCCCCCTTATCTCCTTTCACATCTCATAATGCCTTCTTGCTCTGCTCCCTCGTGTACTAATTGTGCATCTCCAGGTGAATGCGCTTGAGTATGCTCTTGACATGATTGAAGAGGAGCAGCAGAAGGAGAGGGGTCTGGACGAGCTCATTCGCTTCAGTGTAAGTGCAGCAACCAGCGACGATGACACGGGATGGGACGTATGGCATGCCTTCACTCATCACTGGAACCTGTGCTATGGGATGATGTGAAGGTGAGGGGGCTGAATGAGCTAATTCAATGACGCGCTCAGTCTATGGACACTCTGAGGGCATGGTATATGAGTCATGGCTCAACCCACCATGGCATGCTAAGTCATCATGGCTCAACCCACCATGGCATGATGAGTCATGGCTCAACCCTCTTCCCGCTTCCCCTCCCACCAGAAGGTGTCCCTCTCCCTCACCTCTCCTTTCCCCTACTCTAACCCCTCCCCCCCTCCTTTACCCCCCATCCTCTTCCACCATGAGTGCTATAAGCACGAGCGTTCCCTCCGCGCAACTCACAGCATTCTGGGCCTGCACCGCCACGCCTTCCCGATTTTTCCCATCTCTTCCCCCCTCTCCTCCCCTCTTCCCCCTCTTCCCCCTTACCCTTTCTCCCTCCCCTCTTCCCTTTCTCCCTCCCCCCTCCCCCTTTCCCCTTCCCCCTGGTGCCCCCGCCATCTCACCAGAAGGAGCGCTACCATCATGAACAATCCCTGGCCACTCACAGCGCCCTCGGCCCGCACCACCACGCCTCCCCGCCTCCGCGCACCTTCGCCACGCCCTTCCTCCACGAAACCCTAACTCTCGCCGATCGCAACTTCAAGAACATCTTCCGAACGCCGGAGCTGTTCCTATCGCGTATCGGCCTCATGGTTATAACGGGCCTTATTCTCGGGTCGCTGTTTCTCAAATCGGGGTACGACGCGGAAGGGATCACGAACCGCGCGTCGTTCTTCGCCTTCGCGCTCGCGCTCCTCCTGTTCACGTCCACCGAGGGCCTTCCGATCTTCCTCGACGAACGGCAGATCTACATCCGCGAGACGTCGCGCGGCGCGTACCGCACCGGGTCGTACGTGCTCGCGGGCGCGCTGGTCTTCCTGCCGTTCCTCTTCCTCCTCTCGCTGCTCTTCTCGTGCGTCGCGTATTTCATGGTCGGCCTCGCGGCGACGGCGACGGCGTTTTTCCGGTTCGTCGCGACGGTGTTTCTGACGCTCGCGGTGGGGAACTCGTTTGTCGTGTTCTTCGCGGCGTTCGTGCCGAACTACATCACCGGGAATACCGTGGTCACGGCGATCACGGCGTTCTTCTTCCTCTTTAGTGGCTTCTTCATTTCCAAGTAAGACACTCGGGAAAAAGATTTCACCCCACTGGATCTACATCAACTACCTTTCCACCGTCAAGTACCCCTCTTTGATGCTCTCATCATCCACAAGCATGGATCCCTCCTAGCCCTTCCTGTATGTCCCCACCACGTCTCTCATCTACTGCTCTCCCCATCCCCTCTTTCCCCGCCCCCTTCTCTCTCCGCACTCAGGGACAACATTCCACCGTACTGGATCTGGATGAACTACCTCTCCACCTTCAAGTACCCCTTGGAAATGCTCACTATCAACGAGTACGGCTCTCTTCCCTCCGTCTGCTGGGAATACCTCGTTAAGAGTGACCCCACCTCGCCCTGTATAGTCACCTCCGACACCGTTATTGCGCGATTCGATATGGCGGACAGCAAGTTCTGGGAGTGTGCCGTGGTTATGGTGTCATTCTTTATCGGGTACAGGATCCTGTTCTATTTCGCACTACGGTACCAGACCTCCCTCGTCCGCTAGCAAGTGACGGAAGGGTCCGGTTAGGACGAATAAGAGCGCATTCCTACGAGGTCACGTCTAAATGCGAGGAACCTGGCGCGCGCCGGTACTGCCTTGTGGAGTATATAAGAGAAAGCCGAACCCAAAGGCTCATTGCGGTTCGGCGTAAAAGAAACGCAAGGTCGGCACGGGCAAGTGGAAAAGGTAGAAATAGATTAGGGATGGGTAAGTAGTGTGATATAGATGGGTGCGGTGTGGTGGGTTTTAAGTCTTGTTTTGTACACGTGTATCTAATTGATTAGCATATTAGCTGGATCACCTCTTCATTATCAGTGCAGTGAAATTTTATCCATACAGGAAAGGATCTGAAATTGCTCAGAATTTCTTGCAGCAGCAGTACACCTGTTTACTGCTTGTCCTTTACATACACGCATGAGCTAGCAAGTCAGAAGCCGTGAAATGTGGCAGTTGAGTTGAGTCAAGACAATTAAAAGCTGCTGAAATTGAATTGCCTGCTTGACTGGCACCAGTTGGTAGACCTCTGTATTACCGTAGCCACAGGAGGAGCACCTGGAGCAACAAGTGTAACAGCATCAACAGTGGTGGCAGTACCAGCAGCATCTGTCTCAGCTTGTACCACCACCACCAGCATCCGCGGCAGCAGCACCAGCAGAAGCAGCAGCAGTAGCGGCAGCGGAATTACCAGCAGCAGCACCCCTAGCAGCAGCGTATTGTCCATCCTTCCTGCGCGTGCGAGCCACACCAAGGCGAGGCAACCCGCGATTCAACCCCTCCAGGAGCACACACGCCTTGCACAGCTCCTGGTGATTTTTTTTCGGGAAGAGGGAAAGAGGGGAGGGAGGAAGAAAAGAAGCAACTATTAATCCATCGTGATTCAACCCCTCCAGACGCAACACGCGTTTCAAGTTCCTGGTGAAATATTTTTGGGAAGAGGGGAAGAGGGAAGGGAGGGAAGCGACCATTAAGCCATCGTGATTAAACCCCTCCAGGAGCACACACCTCTTGCTGAGCTCCTGGTTATTCATTTTGATGGGTGTGTGCTCCTCAAGGGACAGGGAGGAGCAGAAAGACTTTTGAGACGTCTCAAAAGGGACAGGGAGGAGCAGAGAGAGATAGGAGAGAGATAGGAGAGAGATAGGAGAGTTCCACACCATTGTGATTCATGCCTTCCAGGATCACACCAGCAGAGTTCCTGCTGATATGAAATAGCGGAGTTGATTTTGGTGGAAAATACAAAAGAATGCAAAAGGAATAACAAGGAGGTGATTTGGCAAGCACTGGCTGTACAGACACCTCGAGGAAGAGTGAATGCAAGAAGCAGCTGACAGACACCTACAATAGGCAGGTCGATTTCATGCGTTACATTGTAACCGTACCTGGCTGGCGATGTAACCGCATCGGTCACATGTGCGCTGAGTTGGCATCTTGACATCGGCCTGGAATCTGAACTCCTCCGCTGATTTGATTATATCCAAAATGGCTCGTGGCCTGAGAGTGAGATCGCAGACAGGGGACAATTATTTTGCAAACCATTGTCACACCAAGAGGAACTCTCAAGTATTTCACCGCTTGGAATCTGAGCTCCTCTGCTGATTTGATAACGTCCAGAATGGCTCGCGGCCTGAGGGTGGAATGAGTGCGCAGACAGGGGGGAAGTTGATTTTTGCACACCAGGGTTCAGGGTTGAATGAGTGTTGGATTTTCCCCCCCCATTGTCAGCGTCTAATAAGAGCTCCTCCTTTGATTTGATTATGCCCAGCATGGCTCGCGGCCAGACCGGTGATCACACATGGGCAGGTTGGGTGTTTTGAGACGTCTCAAAACACTTCTTCATACACGATGCTCGCGGCCCGACCTGTGGTCACACATGGGCGAGTTGAAAAGGGTGGTTGAAAAAGAACCAGGTTGCACAACCACACAAACGCGGCAAAAAGAACAAGTATGGCACTCACAGTATGGCCATGCAGCGCTATACGTAAGGGAAGCCCTTATTACCGTATGGTCTCGAGTCCCTAGATGACTTTAGAGTCGACTCAAAAGGCACTCACCGCATGGCCATGCAGCGCAATACTGAGACTCTTACTACCGCATGGCCTCTAGTCCCTCAATGTTTTCTGATTCGAATCAACGAGGTAAGCACCATACACAAGGGAGATGCTCACCGTATGGCCTCCAGGTCCTTGATCCATTCTGAGTGGACTCAAAAAGAGAGAGGAGGATACCACATGGCCACACACGGTGACATGGCCACCATACACAAGGGAGATGCTCACCGTATGGCCTCCAGGTCCTTGATCCATTCTGAGTGGACTCAAAAAGAGAGAGGAGGATACCACATGGCCACACACGGTGACATGGCCACCATACACAAGGGAGATGCTCACCGTATGGCCTCCAGGTCCTTGATCCATTCTGAGTGGACTCAAAAAGAGAGAGGAGGATACCACATGGCCACACACGGTGACATGGCCACCATACACAAGGGAGATGCTCACCGTATGGCCTCCAGGTCCTTGATCCATTCTGAGTGGACTCAAAAAGAGAGAGGAGGATACCACATGGCCACACACGGTGACATGGCCACCATACACAAGGGAGATGCTCACCGTATGGCCTCCAGGTCCTTGATCCATTCTGAGTGGACTCAAAAAGAGAGAGGAGGATACCACATGGCCACACACGGTGACATGGCCACCATACACAAGGGAGATGCTCACCGTATGGCCTCCAGGTCCTTGATCCATTCTGAGTGGACTCAAAAAGAGAGAGGAGGATACCACATGGCCACACACGGTGACATGGCCACCATACACAAGGGAGATGCTCACCGTATGGCCTCCAGGTCCTTGATCCATTCTGAGTGGACTCAAAAAGAGAGAGGAGGATACCACATGGCCACACACGGTGACATGGCCACCATACACAAGGGAGATGCTCACCGTATGGCCTCCAGGTCCTTGATCCATTCTGAGTGGACTCAAAAAGAGAGAGGAGGATACCACATGGCCACACACGGTGACATGGTCACCATACACAAGGGAGATGCTCACCGTATGGCCTCCAGGTCCTTGATCCATTCTGAGTGGACTCAAAAAGAGAGAGGAGGATACCACATGGCCACACACGGTGACATGGCCACCATACACAAGGGAGATGCTCACCGTATGGCCTCCAGGTCCTTCATCCATATGTATGGCTTCTGAACAACCACTCACCGAATGGCCTCCAAGTCCTTGATGAATTCACGGGCGAAGCCCCGATAGGCGTCTGGAGAGTAGATACCTGCACGCACAGGCAGAGGGATGGGGCGGAGAGGGGGCGAGGGAAGGAGGTTGTTGCGTAATAGGCAGCAGAGGAGGGCGATTAAGTAATGAGACAAGGGAGAAGATGCCAGGTGAGAAGCACCGATAGGCGTCTGGAGAGTAGATGCCTGCATGCATGCACAGGAACAGAGCAGAGAGGGAGGAGGAGAGCAGCGGGAAAGAGAGGACAAAGAACGGAGAAGGAGAAAAGGAAAAAAATGCATCAGTGGTTCAAATGTGCTTGTGCTGGTGCAAGAGCAGACAAGGGTGTGCGTTCCAGTCATGGTAACCTGAAAATACGAGCGATATTAAGCTAGGGAGGGACCAAGCATTGAGGTATGCAACAGGAAGGAACTCACAGAACCTTCTTGTGAAGTGCTAGCTGAAAAAGCATGACGGGTTCTTGAGACGACTCAAAAGTCTTCTTGTGAAGTGCTAGCTGAAAAAGCATGACGGGTTCTTACATTCGGTGGAGAAATAGTCCAGCTTCTTGAAATGCGCGTACGTGCTGATTGAACGTTGGTAATTCAATGTTACAGCGTCACAGTGAAGCAGGTTATGTGGGTACAAGGTGGAAGGAAATGAGACACAGATGGAAGGAATGGTGAGGCAAGGGGGAGAGAGGGAGGGAAAGGGGAACAAGCGCGAGAGAGGACGTGGAGGAAGAGCAAAAAAGGTGTAACGACGGGGGGGGAGGAGCAAGGGTGGTAGGGCAAGTGGTGGTGGGGCAAGTGGTGGTGGGGCAAGGAGGAGAACGAGAAAAAGGCAGAGAAAGGACGGAGGGAGAGAGGAAGACGTGAAGAGAGAGAGCCAAGATGGAAAAGAGGGAAGACGAGAAGAGGAGAGGGGTTAAGGAATCCTGTATGACTTGTTTTAAAAATTACAGCACCAGGAAAGAAACGAATACATATCCAGAGAAGTTGAAATCAATCACAAACGCAATGAAATCGAAGACGCAAGGAAGAGAACTCTGCGGACTTTAGATCGGGGGCGGATATATGACAATCTCCTTCTCGTAGGTGTATTTGAACGGTTTGCTCCTGGGAAGGGCAGAGTCCTCCCCCGTGGTGATGGCGGCACAGCGACTGAGCCGTGCAACGTCCCCCCTCAGCAGGTTGAGCAACACTGTCTCTGCAAAATCGTCTGCGTTGTGGCCCGTGACTAGCTTGTCCGCCCTCAGGAGCGCTGCCCCTCTATCTAGAGCCTGCATGCACAATGGGGTGTATTTTGATGGGAGGAGACGCGAAGGGAAGGGGAGTAATCAGGATAATACACGCTCCTGCCCTGCCCAGGAGGACTCTGCCCTTCCAACGACGCTCCTGGGCAGGGCAGAGTCCTCCCCCGTGGTGATGGCGGCACAGCGACTCAGCCTCGCGACGTCCCCTCTTAAGAGGTTCAGCAGCACTGTCTCGGCGAAATCATCTGCATTGTGCCCCCTTGACTAATTTGTCTGCTTTAAAGAGGGCTGCTCTGCGCCTCTATCTAGAGCCTGTAGGTACCACGAGGTGTATTGCAATAGGAGGAGAAGGGAAGGGACGGAGAGGTTTTTGAGAATTCTCAAAAAACAAACCAGAATTCTCAAAAAACAAACCAGAATTCTCAAAAAACAAACCAGAATTCTAAAAAAACAAACCAGAATTCTCAAAAACCAATAGGAGGAGAAGGGAAGGGAGGGAGAGAAAAGAGGATAAGCCGTGCAACGACGCTCCTGGGCGGGGCAGAGTCCTCCCCCGTGGTGATGGCCTCGCCACGTCGCCCCGTAATAGATTCAGCAATACTGTCTCGGCGAAGTCATCCGCATTGTGCCCCGTGTGATTAGCTTGTCCGCCCCCAGGAGGGCTGCTCCCCTGTCGAAGGCCTATGCCATGGGCATGGGGCAAAGAGACCCGCACCAAAAGACACCCGCAGGGCGTTCCGTTTCTGGTGCGACCAGCCGCCGCGCCGACTCACCAACATGCCCATGCAATAGATGCATCTATTAGCAGCGCTGTCTTACCATTATATCATATCATCACCAACGTACCAACCACGATACGAGCATTGAGGTCGGTCCATCCACGATAAGAGCAGCTTATCCATCCACAATAACTTGTCGGTATCATCGGGGTAAACAACCCACCTGTCGTCTGAACACCCCGCAGAACGTGCAGTTGTTTTTGCGGCCGATAGTTGCGACTATCTCATCCATGGTCCACCCATAGAGGTCCTTGTAAGAGAGGATGGTGAGGGGAATGCCGTACTGCACGCATAGTGTAGTGGGGGAAGGGTTGAGGAGAGGGATTGAAGTCTAAGGCACGACCTGCCCATGGTCCACCCATACAGGTCCTTGTATGAGAGGATAATGAGAGGGATGCCGTACTGCATGGTGTGGTGTGGGGTGAGAATGGGGGAGAGATACACAGAGGCAAAGAGGCACAGAGGCACAGTGTTCGGCACTATCTCGTCCATGGTCCACCCGTAGAGGTCCTTGTATGAAAGGATGGTGAGAGGGATGCCGTACTGCATGGTGTAGTGGGTGTAAAGAGAGGAAGGTACAGTGGGTATTGGGTGAGACAGCTGCCACTACATCCTCAGTGGTCCACCCATAGAGGTCCTTGTATGAGAGGATGGTGAGGGGGATGCCATACTGCATGGTGTGGTGGGGGAGAACAAAGGGGGGGATTGAACTTTGATGGGGAGTGTCTTTTGAGTCGACTCAAAAGTCAACTCGTAAAGCACGGTGTGGTGGGGGAGAACAAAGGGGGGGATTGAACTTTGATGGGGATTGAAGCTTGTATACCCAGCCAATGCAATGCAAACACACACCCACCCTCACCTGCTTCTCGTTCCTCTTGACTGTCTCTAACGAGTCGTCCCTGTACCCCGTGATGCCCTCGTCAATGGAGAGCAGGAAGAGCTTCAGCCCGTAGTCACAACCTAGGAACCATCCCTTGTACCCCTTGTCCCTCTTGCATCCCTTGGACCTGCTTCTCCTCCACCCTCACCTTCTTCTCATTCTTCTTGACTGTCTCTAGCGAGTCTTCCCTCCCTGTACCCATGATGCCCTCGCCGCATGGATGAGAGCAGTAAGAGCTGCAGACCATGGCACATAGAACTAACCCGTCCCTCCCACACTTACCTCTGCCCCACCCGCCCCACCCAATGCATGTCACCTGCTTCTCGTTCCGCTTGACTGTCTCCAGTGAGTCGTCTCTGTACCCCGAGATCCCCTTGTCAATGGAGAGCAGCAAGAGCTGCAGACCGTAGCACGCACACAGCCACTGCACGCTCACACCCACACCCATGCCTACCTGCTTCTCGTTCCGCTTGACTGTCTCCAGCGAGTCGTCTCTGTACCCTGTTATCCCTTCATCAATGGAGAGCAGGAACAGCTGCAGGCCGTAGTCGTGGCGGGCGTTGAGGAGAGACATGATGTGCGCAAGCACGGTGGAGTCTGGGGGGAGAGAGGCACAGGGGATGAAGGGGAAAGTGTGATGTGAAGGATCAGCTATCAAGAAAAACCGCTCTCTTTAGCTAGTCCATAAGAGCAGAAAGAGTTGCAGGCCATAGTCGTGGCGAGCGTTGAGGAGAGAGATGAATGTGAGCTAGCACGGCGGAGTTGATTGAAGAGATTGCTTTCTAGACGAACCAGTGCACCATAGATGGTGGCGTGGATGTTATTTGAGAATTCTCAAAAACCATAGATGGTGGCGTGGATGTTATTTGAGAATTCTCAAAAACCATAGATGGTGGCGTGGATGTTATTTGAGAATTCTCAAAAACCATAGATGGTGGCGTGGATGTTATTTGAGAATTCTCAAAAACCATAGATGGTGGCGTGGATGTTATTTGAGAATTCTCAAAAACCATAGATGGTGGCGTGGATGTTATTTGAGAATTCTCAAAAACCATAGATGGTGGCGTGGATGTTATTTGAGAATTCTCAAAAACCATAGATGGTGGCGTGGATGTTATTTGAGAATTCTCAAAAACCATAGATGGTGGCGTGGATGTTATTTGAGAATTCTCAAAAACCATAGATGGTGGCGTGGATGTTATTTGAGAATTCTCAAAAACCATAGATGGTGGCGTGGATGTTATTTGAGAATTCTCAAAAACCATAGATGGTGGCGTGGATGTTATTTGAGAATTCTCAAAAACCATAGATGGTGGCATGGATGTTATTTGAGAATTCTCAAAAACCATAGATGGTGGCGTGGATGTTATTTGAGAATTCTCAAAAACCATAGATGGTGGCGTGGATGTTACACTCGCACAGACAGAAGAAGAATTCCTTGGTCGTCTAACGCCTACACATAGCATGGGAAAGAGAGCATCAACTGCTGCTACTGCGACTCACCTTTTCCCCCTGATGCAGCCACTGCCACTTTCTCGCCTCGCTTGAAGACCTTCTTCTCCATGATGGTGGCATGTGTGTCCCACTCCAACACATAGAATAGAAGTGAGAACGCCAACTGCTGCGACTCACCCTTGCCCCCTGACGCAGCCACTGCGACCTTCTCGCCTCGCTTGAAGAGCTTTTCTCCACGATGGTGGCATGGATGCCCCCACGAAAGAAGCACCCTTTGCTCATATAGAACCCGTACAGGCTGGGCCTGAGAGCATTGAATGCTTGTACTCGACTCACCCTTGCCCCCTGACGCAGCCACTGCCACCTTCTCGCCTCGCTTGAAGAGCTTGTTCTCAACGATGGTGGCATGGATCTCGGACTCGAACAGACGGAAGAAGCAGTCCTTGCACACCTGGGGCCACGGGGTGGGGGGGTCAACGTGGACAACGGGAGGGGGGATCAATGCGACAAGGGGAGGGGGAGCTTTGGGGGTGCGGGGGAAGGGGAGATGCGGGCACGGGGGAGAAGCAGGCGGAAACACCGGGGGGCGCGAGCGCACCTGTTGGCCGGTCTTGGGCCGTTTCACCATGGCGCGCTGCTCCCCGCACTCCCCGCACAGCAGTCTTCCGCCTCCGCTCCCCCGCGCCCTTACCGCTGCCCCGCTTCCGCTAATGCGCACGCTCGGCGCGCTGTTGCTGCAGCCGCCGTTGCTGCTGTCTCTGTCGCTGCTACTGGTGGTAGCGGTACATGTAACACTAGCGGTAACACTCGCGGTAGTACTAGTGGTAACACTACTCGTGGAGGTGGTAACCGGGGGGAACGAGCCGCAGGCATGACCGGAGCTGCTGCAACCGCCATTGTCGGAAGAACAGCTGCCGGATTGGCCGGCGCGGTTGCTGTCCTCGTTACAGTTGCACCCGTTACTCGGCCGAACATAGTCGCTGCTCTCGCAAGTGGAAGTCATTCGCGAAGCCTGCTCGTCTGGACTCGCATGATCCTCTCTACAAGAACACGCGCTTCCGTTTGTAGGCATGATGGGTAGGGAGCGAGTGAGAAAGGTACTACCTGTGCTGATATTAGGGTTCTGTTTAGGGTGGAATTCGCTAATAACTGAAAAACATTTCTTGGTATGACGTGGAATGTGCACTGGTTCTGAAGCAACTGAATCACGTAGTAGAAGGTTGCGCAATAACGAGTCACCTACCAAAACCCAGAATCTCGACTTTGCCATCAGCACAACCTGAAATCGCAGCGCGTACTGGCAGCTTCGCAGTTTTGTTTCGCGAAAATCGCCGAGCATCCCTTCTCACCACGGCGAAAACCAACCAGCCTCGATTTTGGCGGTCAGACGTTTGTGAGCCGTCGATAGGAGATTCTTTGTCTGGCGTAGGTCGTTCCTTGGGATCTCCATCCACAAACCTCAGCCAGAAATCGTTGCCAGGTTTGAGTTCAGATTCAGTGCCTCTTCAAACCGTACCTAATCACTCTGTTCTCTTAACAAACCGTTCTACCGCGCAAAATGTGAAAACTCTTATCAGACTTGCACAGCTTCGCCTCCTCCTTTCCCTTAGTTTCGTCCTAGAGACTGCCTCTTATCCCGCTCCACGGTCCCAGCCGAGCAACTGTAGCCTTGCCTAGTCGCGGCTCTTCGTCAGAACGCCATGGGACCAGAGGTGAGCCTGTTCGCTCGATCCATTGTCCTCTCGGCTGTTCATGCTCTGTGAGGGATTATTGTTTGTGCTTGTTCGTCCGATCATTTCCCATGATATGCGATAGGAAGCTTGCGATCGCGTTGAATACTTGCTTCTGAGGTGGCTCTACGGGCCGTGATCGCGATTATTGCATCCTTCATTAATAGTCTGATGTACCGCGATCGCGGCTAACGAACGTTTATCATACCTGAACGGGACGAAGTAGGCTATAGCGTACTTCAACTCAAGCCTATTTTCCATGAGGATTCTCGTCCAGCTAACACGCTATGACAAACACACGCGAGGCTTTAAGATCGTCGTCCAGTTTCTGTTTCCGTATCTCAGGAGCTTCGACGGTGTTCGCGCAAGGCTAGCAGGGCCGTTTGTAGCTGTTTTCGTTAGACAGGCTAAAGATTCAAACCGCGAAGGCTTTGTTTCCTGAACAGGGGTCGGCCTTCACTGTAGTAATCGCGTTCATCCGCCCCACGTTCTTGTGTTTTCCTTTCGTTTTCTCTCGTGTCGAATTTTTGTACGTTTACATAGAAGGATCCCAGTGCCTCCTGAAGCCTCTTTGAGAGATTTTTCGGGAATTTAATCAGTTCTCTTGTTTCAATTTGTTGATTTATTTTGTAATTTCCAGGAGAAGGATCCCCAGGCAGCTGCAGCAGCTGCCGCACCGCCTCCTCCCGAGGCCAATGCGGCTGCTGGAGAGAAGGAGGAGGATCCTGAAAGGAAGAAGAAGAAGGAGGAGAAGGTGGGCCCTGTAGTCGGTGACAATACTGAGGACTTTAGAGGGTGCTACGCTACCTTTCGTTTCTGTCCAATCCACAGTTAGTTTGCCTACACTGAGGACTCCTCACGCCACGAGCAGTCTGCAATCCGGCAAAGGTCATTCACAGCCATGGTCTACACGAATTTTAACATTCTAATCCACAGCGCGCCCTGATTGTGTCAGTGTATCAATGTTTGGGTCAAGTCAGAAATGACCTTACTGCGTCAGCATAGGCTTCAATCCAAGCTTTCTTGCACCCGTTTGGGTGCTCGTAGTCTTTCGTGATTGGCTCACGCGGTTGGCATGTCCAAGGCATAGAGTGGGGTGGGGGAAAGATGGATGGACGGCTCAGATTATTTGCCCAGGTCATTCGTCATCACCTGTTACTTTCTCTCATGCACAATACTCACAATTCCAACCAACAACCCGTTATTGTCACCAGACCAGAGTAGGACGTCTAATTCAGTTCTCCTGCACGTGGGATCTGTCCCTTTGGTTTCTTCATCCGGTTCTATTTTTTCAACCCCCATTACTGTCAACCCTTGTTACTGTCACCCATTCATTGTGCCACACACAGGCGCGCGAGAAGGAGCTGAAGAAGCAAAAGGCGGCGGAGAAGGCAGCCAAGGCCAAGGCAGCCACTGCTGCAGCCGCTTCTGCTGAGGTGCGGATCCTTCCTTGAGTTGCCTTTGAATGAATATTAGAGTTTTGAGCCGAAGCACATGCCGCTTGAATCGCAAGTGCTTCTGCTGAGATATGCGCAGACTGTGTCACTTGTGCCTACTTTATCTTTTTTCAAGCATGGAATATTATGTCTGACTTCACATCACAAACATTCCCCTAACTCTCTTCCCCAACCCTTCAGCCGTCCAAAAAGGCAGAGGCAAAAGCCAAGAAAGCGGCAGCAGCAGCAGCCGGAGCAGGGGCTGGGGAGGAGGCGGATGCAGTGAATCCGCCCACGGAGCCCGGTCAGAAGAAGAACCTCGCTAAGGAGATGGCCAAGGCGTACAATCCCAAGGCTGTTGAAGCATCGTGAGTGTAAATTGACTGTATATAGTAACGATTTATGCTTCTAATGCGGATGCAGCGAGTCCGCCCACATAGTGAGGGCAGAAAAAGAACCTCGCTAAGGAGATGGCCAAGGCGTACAATCCCAAGGCTGTTGAAGCATCGTGAGTGTAGATTAACTGTACATAATGAAGAGAAGATGCAGTGTAACCGTCCATGAGACCTGGGTGGGTCTTAATTGTATTTAGACACGACTTGTTCGCAGTGTAGTACACTCTTTCAATGCGAATATGAATCTACGTTTCCGTTTTCCGACCCATCTCCTTCCTTGTCTTCCTCTCTTGGGTTGGGCTCGCAACACAACCCAACCAGATGGTACGAGTGGTGGGAGCAAGCAGGGTTCTTCAAGGGCCACAACCAGAGCACCAAGCCTCCTTCTCTCTCTCCTGTTTCTCCCCATCTTCTTCCTTGTCTTCCGCTCCTTGGTTGGACTCACAACACAACCCCACCAGGTGGTACGAGTGGTGGGAGCACGCAGGTTTCTTCAAGGGCGACAACCAGAGCACCAAGCCGCACTTTGTCATTGTAAGCACGCGTGTCCCTTGTATGCGGCACCCTAAACTTCCAGGTACAAAGAAAAAACAGGGTGTGTCCATCACCTAGTCCATTCCATTCCTGCGCTTCTGTAAGCAGTTTTGAGGGTCCTCACGAACCGAATTCTATTGACTCGTCCCAGCGTCACTTGTGCTGCACCTGATAGATCAAATCTTGGTAACGTCCCCTCAATGTGACAGGGGCGCTGCACATTGGGCATGGGCTGATGGACAGCAACACTGGATGAGCTTTTTCCCCCATGTCCTCCTTTCCCCACACTCCCACCAACTCTTCTCCCTCCCCCACTCCCCACATCCCTCCCCTGATCCTCCTGCAGGTGGTGCCTCCCCCAAATGTGTGACAGGAGCGCTGCGCATCGGGCAAGGGCTGACAGCAGCCGTGGGGGAGGGAAGCTCCCCACGCTCCCACAACCCCCAAACTCTTGCCCCTCTCTCTCTTACAGGTGGTGCCTCCCCCGAATGTGACAGGAGCGCTGCGCATTGGGCACGGCCTAACAGCACAGCAGCATGGGAGGAGGTTCTCTTCTCCCCGCTGTCCTCCCTTCTTCACTTCACACTCCCATGACCCCCACACTCTTCCCCATCTCCCCATTCGAGTTGACTTTTGAGTCGACTCAAAAGTCAATTCACACTCCCATAACCCCCACACTCTTCCCCATCTCCCCATTCCAAACCCCTCCTCACGTGCACGGGCTGGCTGACAGCAGCCGTGGGGAAGCTCCCCTTCCCCACCACAACAACTCTTCACCCTTCCCCTCCTCCCTTGCCCGCCTCTCTCTTCCGGGGCAGGTGGTGCCTCCTCCCAATGTGACGGGAGCGCTGCACATCGGGCACGGGCTGACAGCAGCAGTGGAGGACACCATTGTGCGGTGGAAGCGAATGAGCGGATACAATGTGTGCTGGGTGCCTGGGACAGACCACGCAGGCATCGCCACCCAGGTATGGGCTGAAGGTGCTCAGCTTAGGTATGGTTGGCACCGCCACTCAGGTGTGTAGCGGGCTGACAGCAGCAGTGGAGGACACCATTGTGCAGTGGAAGCGAATGAGCGGATACAATGTGTGCTGGGTGCCTGGGACAGACCACGCAGGCATCGCCACCCAGGTATGGGCTGAAGGTGCTCAGCTTAGGTATGGTTGGCACCGCCACTCAGGTGTGTAGCGGGCTGACAGCAGCAGTGGAGGACACCATTGTGCAGTGGAAGCGAATGAGCGGATACAACGTCTGCTGGGTGCCTGGAACGGACCATGCTGGCATCGCCACCCAGGTATGGGCTGAAGGTCCTGGCTGAAGAACCTTGGGTCCGGACCATGTTTATGGGGCTGCCTTCCAGCAGCAGTGAAGGGCACGATCGTGCGGTGGAAGCGCATGAACGGTTATAATGTGTGCTGGGTGCCTGGGACAGACCATGCTGGCATCGCCACTCAGGTAAGACGTGTGTGGGTGAAGGCACTCGGGCCTGGTGTGTCTGTGTGGCATTGCATCGTATCGCCACTGAGGTCAGGT